ACGGGCCCATGTCTCAATTTTTCAACCTTTTGTTAATGTTGACACTTCGTTGCTGTGCCAAATGGGATCACACATTTTTCCCCTGAAATTTTTGAGCTCTCTCGGCTGTTTGGCTAAGGAACAACAGTCGTTAAAACTTGGAGTTCGATGACGCCGACCTGTCTGTGTTGCTGATCCGGGGCTGAGATTGTCTTGTCTGTGGATTAAACGCAGCACGATTGCCCCGACATACACTTCTACAGAGTCGACATCTGCACAACCAACCTTGAACTTACAGTTGTCCGTCCTTTGGAAAGAAGACATGAATGTCACTATTTCGCAATGGAGAGCTTCAATCTGTTTTATGAACTGAATTCAGCTACCCTTCAAAAAAAAATAAAATAATAATAATAGCATAACAACATACGGTCGGCGACCTGAATCACTACATGTGCTCTGCCAAGGGCCCATGGGAATTTCTGCTACCAATGAACCGATGGAACTCTCAACTCCCACACCGGAACAATTATCTCTCACAGATCACATGAGGTTCTCTATTATAGGAGTAGGTCTAGTGGGAGATGTAAAGTAGAACCCAAGTCCATTTACAGGCGAATGGCAGGAAAATGCAAGAAAACAATTGATCAGCGAGATGGTGCAGGACGTTAAGGCGATGAAGCATTCCCGGAACGTCACGAGCGACTGACAAACCTGGAACAAGAATAGAAGAAAAGGTACTTAAAAGGATCGCTTATCTGCGATTACATGACATCGGTACATCGTTGCAGTGACTGAAATGATGTCCCCCTGTTCCAATCCTAGTGTCATTTGCGTTTTCACAAACTAAAATGGCTTTCTTTTCTGTCGCTAAGAAGAGATTAATAACTGGACTTGGACTGGGCTTCGCAAATTCGTAAAATTCGGAAACTTGACACCATTCATGAGCTCGGGTTGGAATGCGAGCCCGTGGAGAGATCGCTGATCAATGATCTGAGATGAATCTCAGTAGCTCCCAGCAGCTATGAACACGGGAGAGCCTTCGACCAGTGAGAAGCAGCAGTTGGATGGCACGGAGTTTCAGCCGGGACACCAAAGTCGACCATCAGCAGAGCGTCAAGGCTCCAGGGGAAACCTGCAGATAGCCGAGAATACGCGAAACCTGAGCAGATTCAGCCGGGGAGAGGGGACCAGGGCCAAGGACAGGCTGAGTGCTCGATATAAAGATAAAAACGATGGTCTTATCTCCGTATTTAACTGCAAGGACTCCGTTTCGAGACGTCAGACCCCGAACTCATTTCCAAAGTGGATCTCGTCGGTTCGTATGAAACACGAATGGTAAGATTTCGTGATGGTGTTCTTCCTGGTCTCAGTCTATGGAAGTGACGCTGTTCGTCACCTACCTCGAACCTTTGGTACCTTAGCCTACATTGCAAAATATGTTTTTATTGCGGGCAGTAAATGATTTTGCTGAATCTGGGCTCGTCTCAACGATAAGAAAAGTCACTTAACCTTGAAACGCTGCACAGCTGGTAATTCATAAGCTCGTAATATGGGAGGATAATAAATCGCTGAATTACACATATACTTCTTTTTTCAATCAGAAAACTTGTATATAGGAGCCATATTGACATATTGACAAGATAAACTACAAGACATCTGATTGCATAACACATTCACCTATTAGAAACGACAATCGAGGAAGGTGGTTCTCCATCCTTTCCGCTAGGTGGCCAGTGCGCCTCGCCATCACGTCGAGAGCCAGGGGTGGTCCTAGTCTATCGCCAATGTTTATCACTAGGGTCGTAATCATTCTTCCCTCAGGATTAGACATTCCCCCCATTGGTTTCAGATGATTAGACGGTTTAACGGTTCGGTCAATAGGCCCTGTCGGATTGAGAGAATCCGCGAGTAATTGATCTCGAATCTCAATTGGAGGAAAGCTGCATATTATCAATACATCCTTCTGGTGCTTATTCGTTTTTTAAATCATACATACATGTCTCGTGAATAAACAAAGGTTTGCGGTAATTCTGACCACTGTGTTGAACAGTGTTTTTAAAAGAAGGGTCGGAGAAGAGACTGTACAGAAGAGTCCGCGATTTCCAAGGAAACTCGCCAGGGATGTAGCCAATAATTATTTTCGGTGGGGTGTCTTGTGCGGCTCTTTCAAACTCATGATTAAGAAACCAAGGAAGATGATTGGTTGGGAGGAATCAGGGCAACTTCGAAAACCCTTTCGCATACATTCTGGGAGGACTCTATTTTCTCACTCTACAACAAGACCTCTTTCTTCCCGCACCGTTTTCGGACATGTGGAAGGATTGGTGGATATATAGATGGGTGGATGAAAAAATCCAATCTATGAATTTAAAATTCTTCGAAGCCAAAAGTTCAGCTATGAATTTCAGGTTTGGCAGATGTGGTACCATAACCAAGCATACGTAATCATTATTTAAGTGCCTCTATCTTTCTGGCCGGAACCAATGGTTAAGTCGATATTTTGGCTGGGTTTGCCGTTCCAAAAATCAGCGGAAACTATAGAAAGCTGCTCGAAGATAGTTGACTTAGACCAGCCTTAAAAAAAAATTCATAAACTTTCACCAACCAGGCGACATGTTTCCTCGTTCCGCCTTTCCGACGGCCAAAAATGCTGTTCCTGCACGAAAAGATAAATGCCAATGCGTGTCTATGTTATTACAATGGGCGATGCTGACTCGCACGCAGGGAATAGCAAATGTCAATTTGCGCGAAGAAGGGTTCTTGATGATTCTTTGATTTCTTTCACTCGTTAGACCATTTGATTCTTACTAACCAGGCTGTTTTCTTTCCACTCACCATTCCGCCAAACGTACTCGCCGTGGGTATTTTACAAGTCTGGCAGAGGTTTTAGTTAAACCCAGCATGGGAAACTTGGAGTTCCTTTAAAATACATGCATCAAACAAATTTTGCACCACCCCCAGATCTCTACAGGTTCTTGCCGCGATATTTTTGGTTATAACTTTGCTGTATTTCATCCATATTCCATCAAATTTTTTACTTGCAATTTTGTTTGGCAACAATACCTCGTATATTAGGGTAAGTGCTGCGAATGTCGGCACTAGGGGTAATCTCGGCGCTTTGCAATAGTAAAAATTCTGCTTTCACTACTAGTTCCCTAGGCACGGGTAGATAAGTATTCTCAGATGGTAGGACTAATGTTAACATGTTCTTGGAACAGCCATATTTGCTGCTGTAGTTTTCTCGCAGTGGCCACTTTCTCTAAGCGCACTCCGAAAATCTTGCGAAATCTAAACTTTTGCACATTCCATTCTTCACTTCTACATTAGGTATTGTTATATCAGGTCGTTGCATTCATTTTTGGACCCATTCAAAACGACAGTGATACATAAGTGTGCCAAGATTGCTAACATCTGACCCAACTTCACGTTTGACCCAGCCCCTCAGAAATGAAAGGCCTGGGGCACTCGAGGTTTGTGGTACAGGAAGGTTAACAATAAAGTTTACCTGACTCAATATGAACGAGGAAACTCCATTACGAAAACCAACAAGCAAGGTGGAAGTGCAGAATTTGCTTAGAGTGCCGACATTCGCAGCACTCACCCGACAAGGATTTTTCAAAATGTCCACCGTCGGCTGAGATACAGGCTTTTTAAACGCTTTGGAAAGTTGTCCACGAAGGCCGTCAGCTGTTCGACCTTAATGTCGTCCCAAGTCTTAAGAAAACCCTTCTTCAGCGATCCACCCTGCCGAAGTGGTCACGTGCCTAGGGGTCCAGGACTGCTCTCAGGCAGTCTCCCAAGCAGTCTTAATGGTGTCCAAGGAGACAAATCTTCTGAGCAGTTCTGCGACTGTCACACAGTGACGTGCCCAAGAGGGGAAGGGAGGAGTCATCGGGGGTCAAATTTTTCTATTTGGTCACAAATACAGGGTGTTTTATCAGTTTTCACATATGTTAACCCCCCCCTCCCCATTAGGTGGGTAATCAGTGTTTCATATGGCAACCCCCCCCCCCCTATTCGGATTTCCTGGGCACGCTACTGCTGTCACACGTTTTGACGGCTCCTTTAATGAGTCCCTTTTTGTTCAGGAAACTTAAACACTTGAAACTTTCAGGAAATACATTTTTTGCGTTCCCAATATGATAAAAAAAAATACAAATATAGATTTTGCACAGTTGGTTTCTTGAGGCGTCCTGCAGTAAATTTTTTCTGCATCATCCGATATACCAATGGATTATAGTTGAATGGAAAGAAACGTGTTGAGTTGACTGAGGTTGAGTCGAGCGCGCAAGGTGGAATCGAATGTGCCGGAAGCAACATGCATGGCGGAGCCCAGTTCAAGGCACAGGAGTTTCCCTCACGGCTGGGCGAGTGGACTCCCCCAAGTTTTTCGGATTCCCATTCCACACATTTCTTGCGCGACATTAATTACCACGAACTCTCTTTGTATCACTAGCACTCACAGTGACTACAACTCCCATAAGGCTACGCTAATCGTGTAACGAGATGTAGAAAAGAACTCACGCACTCGAAAATGAACTGACCAAGGTTAAAATAGAAGTATGGAGCACTTTAAACGTGGAAAGTGAATTCGAGGGGATTGTAACCCTTACCCTGGAGTATCAGTCATCAGAAAAAGCCTTAATAATATGTGTTAGACTGCTGATGTTCATCCACGATTAGATCTAGCTGTAGAATGGTAGACTACCTTATATAAACGCTCAATCTTGACACATTGAATTATGGTAAACATATGTTAGCTAATGTTCTGGGTCCTTAGTTCGCGCTTTCACATAAACCAAGTTCAAAGTCAATTTAAAAACGTATAGGATTGAGAAAAAAAAGAACATTCATGGTGGTGTTTACGATGAGGTCGTAAGGTTAGACATCGGCCTATGATTGTTCTGATGTGAGGCTAGCCAAGTACGCAACGGCCTGACTCATCTGAATACTTGCACTTCATTTTAGGTCGTATTCCAGATTCAGCCTTGAAGCTTCAAATATTGCCAAGTCCTGTCAGAATGTCAGAGTTTCAAAAGACTGAGGCAGGTACTGAAGACGAAGAAGATTTCACATTTTACCGTGACAGACCAGAATGGAAAGATGTCAAACCTGTCCCACAAGATGATGGACCTCATGCTGTTGTGGCCATCCTATACTCAGAGAAATTCAAGGATGTCCATGATTATTTTCGTGCAGTTACCAGAATAGGAGAAACGTCTGAGCGAGCTCTAGAGCTCACCAAGGATGCGATCGAACTAAATCCCGCAAATTACACAGTCTGGCAATATCGTCGAAAACTACTTAGGGAGCTTGGCAAGGATCTTTATGAAGAGTTGACATTTGTGCGGGGTCACATAGAACAACAGCCCAAGAATTATCAAGTCTGGCATCATCGGCATGTCTTGGTTGAATGGCTCCAGGATCCTCTCTTGGAAAAGCGCTTTACAGAGATGATGCTGTCTCAGGATGCAAAGAATTACCACGCTTGGCAGCACCGCACATGGGTTGTCAAAGCATTTCAGCTGTATGAAGGAGAATTGGACTTCACTGACCAACTTCTCAAGGAAGATGTTCGCAACAACTCGGCCTGGAATTACCGATTCTTCCTCATGTTGTACCCAAAGAAGGCTGATGATGAAACTGCCAAGAAAGAGATTTTGTACACCATGAAGGCCATCTCAAGAGTCACTCACAATGAAAGTGCCTGGAATTACCTCAGGGGTCTCATGGTCAAGTTATGTGCTTGCAATCCTAATGTCCTTGATATGATTTGGGATTTCTGCTTGGAACTTAAAAAAAGTGGCACTGATTCTCCTCACTTGCTGGCCTTCATGATTGACATACTTGATGCACGCATGGAGGCCAGTATTGAGAATAGGCAAGAAAATCTTAAGAGTGCTCAGGGCCTATGCCGCTTGCTGGCCCAAGAGAAAGATAAGATTCGGGAACAGTATTGGCTGTATCAGTCTGACTGGCTTCAATGCAAGTACATACCCAGTTCTGTTGATGAGTGATTTCTGCTCATTTGGCATTCCTCTTGTCAAGTCTCACCCTTTGTCAATGAAATGCATGATTTCCTTGGAAATGAAGTTTGTGCAGTGTATTTTGAAGAAATTGCTTGGGTAGTTAAGAAAATCTATTCCTGGAAAGAAAACAAATATACTCAATATCAATTCATGAGAATGAATATACCATAAATAAAAATGGGCTGTAAATAGGGTGATTCTTGGCTCAAAAATATTGGCCAATAATGCAGGTCTTAGTCAATATAAATTGCTTTTAATATAATGAAAATAAAAACTGTTCCTTCAGTATCCTCAATGAATGTACATTCAAAGTGAGTAATATAAAAAGGCTTAGATATGTTTGATTTTGGCAAGCTACTTTTTTTTGTTGTTGCAGAAAAGCACCTTTATAATTCTTGATACTTATGACATGCAACATAGAAGAAAAACTCAGCATTGGTATGTATGATCATGCAACCAATGAAAAAGGGTTTGGCCAATCAATACTATCGTTCTTGTATTTCATTGATTTTTTTTGCCTGAATTCTGATGAAATGATGTGACCTAAAGCTATGAGTTAATTAAAAAATTGTTAATTGCCCAGTTGATTTTGACCTGAGGTTGATATTTTTTTAGTGGTTGAATGTCTCCCAATGTATGGCCTTTGACAAGAGAATTCATTGAACATGCACTAGGTTTCACATGAAGGCAACCCTAACTGTAACTGATTCTGAAGCCTACGTGGATTGATGATGTTACAATTGGACATCGATAAACACTGCCCTCAAACATACATGGGGTATGATGTGTGACAAAAGGGATGGTACACTGCCATTCCCTCCCATGAGGACTCTCAAATCAGATTTTTGCAGTCTGATCATGTCCATATCAAATCTGCAAGTTCAATTCTGAGTCCCCCTAGATATTTCCAATTGTTCAAAGTCTTTTTCTTTTTTGAAATTATGGTCTTCATAATCAAGGGAATATGTTCAATTGTTGACCTTCAGTCAGTTTTATTATTTTCTGAATTAAACCCTAGAATTCAGTAAATCTATGTATATAATTTAGTTATATAGACTCTTTTCTTGATTGTTATAAACATATTTTCCATCTTGGCTAAGTTGCTTTTCTACACATGACCTATCAAATTGCAATGGGAATGCTTTGAAAATTCTGTAGCACTCCATATCAAATCGAGAGATTGCCATGGCATGGGTTCAATGTGTCCCTTGTGCATGCATGTTTCTTTACATAATTGACCAAGGGCTTGGTGGTCTATAATGAGTATATAACAGTATATTGTGAAAAAAAAAAGGAAAGAAAAAATATCTGCCAAAATGAACCTGTAGGGGATAGCAATATCAGTATTAAGGTGCTACAATACAAAATGCAAGGGATAAAGTGAAAATATAAAAGGAAAGATAAAGACTTTAACATGTAATCTTCTCCATTTCATTCTCATCTTATCTAAGTCTTGCTCCTTAAAGCCTAAGTTTATCAACTCATAATGGAATATTTTTAATATTTTGTTCCTTGTTCCTTATTCCTTGTTTTCTTTAACCCCTTAACTGGGAACTTTGGTTTGCAAAAGATGGATCTGTGATGGGACCTTTTTTCTCTGGTTTTTTGCTTACTAGACCCTAATGACTTTAATTACGCATAAAATTTTAACTATAATAGATAGAAAAGTGAAGTAAAATTTTCTAAGATGTCCATTACATGTAGAATTTTTTCATTTAAAAAATTCAAATAATTTACATATTTTTATAATAAATAATATAATCATTATATAATTATAGAATGACAATTAAATGTTATCATTGCATTATTATATATAATGTATAATTAAACATTGATATATATTGTAATATTTATTTATTATTTATGTATTTTCGTGTATTATAAAATTATTGATATGCAAGTAACTGCATATGTACGGGTCTCAGGGTTGCACCAGTAACTTGCTTTGTCTTGTATTCCCTTTTCACGAATTTTACCATAATTATGTTAGATAGACATTCAAATTTCATAGCAGGCCTATTGTGTATTGTAAGTGGTACATCTATAGGTGATTTTGTAATGTTAGGGAACAAGTATTACAGTCAGTAAAAAAAACTAGTTTACTCCTTGGACGTTAACTACCTTTTTTGTCACGAAGTGCCCCCCTAGGATTATTAGGTGTGATAATACCAGTAATTAATGCTCATAGTAGAAAAGCTTCTGCCATCTAATGGCAGATATTTCAACAAGTCCCATCACAGCAAAATTGACCACAAATACGCGGCGAATCCATTGTAAACCAGCCAGAAAACACGCGAACGCATATGTGCGGTGAGTCCATTGAGAGATGGCAGATGCCAGACCGCACATATGCGGCAAGTCCATTTAAGGGGTTAATATGCAAGCATCAAAATATATATTTCAGTAAGTTTACCTTTTTTGAGATTGACACACTGCTTCCACGTGCAGTTGCCTTGATGTTTGTATGCATGTTAGTATTAAGCATTTTTAATGCTTGCAAGAGTGCTGCTATTAAAGGTTTCCCCAAGTTTGAATTGGAGCACCAAACTTGATAAACATTTTTTGGGTAAAAAAAAATCACTTGGCTTACAATTAGGCTTGCAAAGTTGAAATAGGATAGCATTTCCAGTGAGGGCAGCATACAATGAAATGGTATGTTATTGCTGTGTAGTGTACTTAAAGATGGCTTACTCCTGGATTCTGGTTTACTAAACATGTTTTTTAATTTCAGGATGTCTATTAAAGAAGTGACAGAGACATGTCTTTAGTGGAAAATACCTCAGAAGGGGTGGGGGGTTGTGATGGGAGCATTTGCATCAAATGGCCTGGGTTCTCTACACATATTGAGGACTTGATGGCGCAGCTGTGGCGCGATGAAGCTGAGACAGACGTCCATGTTGTCTGCCAGGATGGGACAGTTAAGGTCCATGCTATCATCATTGCCCTCTTTTCCCCTTCCATGGCAGTTAGTGACTTCTCATTCTCTCAGTAATTGTAGACAGGTTTTTTTTCTTGCATGAAGTGGAAAAGTATTTCATAATACCATATGAAGGAAAACTGAAGCTGGCCATTTGATCATGTATGAATGAGTTTTCTTCATTGTTTCAGGAAATGTTGAAAACCTGCCAGGTGCAAGATGACCATGGAGTGACCATCCTGATGCCAGATTTTCATTTGCAGGACCTCACCAAGTTCTTTTACCTCCTTTACCACCATCACACTGAACTTGTGGCTTCAGATGCCTCAGTCTTGTCTGAAATAGCTTCATGTCTAACAATGGACCTCTCCCTCTCGGGTCCCTTTGGGGATCATCTTGTAAGCTCCAAACCGCTGAGAAAATCAAAGGTGGAGGATGACCCAGGTACATGTATTGGTATCCAGTGTAAGCTTCATGAATCAGAAGACATGAAAATTTTGTGTCGTGTGTGTGGATCAGAAGTTCCCCTGAAAGAAAACTGCCTGAATCAAGATGATGAAAAGGAAGCATTTAAACCTCTGAAGAAGAGGAAGAAGTGTTCAAATGGTGCCAAAAAAAAGTTTCCAGATGGTGCTCAAAGAAAGAGACGATTGAAGGTGTCAAACAAGGACAAGGCCAGGCAAAGCCCAGTTGAGGAGGTTGCACTTGATGACACCTTGGAAAATGCAATGTTAAAGATTATTTCAACTGAAGATCTGCAAGAAAAAGATACTGTTGCAACTGAAGATGAGAATAAAATCCCCGAAGATGAAGGATCAATGGACTTCAAGTGTCCAAAGTGTGGGAAGACATTGAAGGCCTGCACAAAACAAAGAATGGAGCAGCACCTCCGCACCCATGAAGCCAAGAACCGTCTCTACACCTGCGATGACTGCCCTCGTACCTTCTCCCATGCAAGCGTCTTGAGAGACCACAAACGTGTTCACAGTGGTGAGGGCCCTTATACATGCGAAACATGTGGCAGGCAATTCACTCAAGTTAGTGGGTTCCGAAAACATCAGAAGCATCATCAGGGGAAGTTCCCGTTCACATGCGATGCCTGTGGTAAGGGCTTCCTCCATTTGAGTTTGTTGGAAATTCACAAACGAAGCCATACTGGTGAGCGTCCTTTCACTTGCGAAGTGTGTGGGAAGAGCTTCATTTATGCTGGGGACCTAGAGCGTCACAGGAAGATCTTTCACACTGGGGAGCATCGTTTCTACTGTGAGTTCTGTGGGCGGGGCTTTGGCTACAAATTCAAACTGGCTGAGCATCGTCGCATCCACACTGGAGAGTGCCCTTATCAATGTGACAAATGTGGGAAGCGCTTCAAACGTGCTGCAGATTATGAAGGGCATAAGAATAGTCACACTGGGGAACGACCACATGGATGTGAGATCTGTGGCAAGTATTACAGTAGACCTGAACATCTCCGTCGACACAGACGGAAAGTCCATGTTGACATGCGACGCCTTGGCATCCCTGGGCGTAAACCAGCATACAAAATTGCTCAAGAGAAAGCAGCTGCAACCTTAGCCACCATTGACAAAACATTACTGACTGTTCAGATGGACAGTCCTGTGGAGAAGATCTCAGTCCCTCAGATGAGCACTCCCAAGTTCATCTCCATTGACGACAAGTTGCCGATTCTGATGGAGAAATTTGACATCCCCTCAGTGACTGTCATTGAGTCAACAGATGGCAAAATCCTGACTGATCTTCAGTCTTCAATGGAATTACCATTACATTCTGTGCCAACAATCATCCCAGTTAGCACTGTACAGCGGACAGAGCTCAACCCTGTTGTCATGGTTACAACTGATGCAAGTTGTGAGAATGGTTCTAGACTCTCCTTCCAGGGCATGTATCCTTACACATATCAACTTGACAAGTGAATTGCTTTTGTGACAAGGTCATTGTTCAAAGTTGAGAGTCTTTTTTTTCCTCAAAGTGCCATTCCAAGATGCATATTTTTGCATGATTTTATATTATGTTGAAGTTTGTTGATTCCTGTTTGGCACTGATCTCATTGAGGAATGAGAGTCAGCCTACTTAGCATTTCTCTTCAAGCTAATGAAATTTCATTGCAATATTGTGACTTTGCATGCATTTTTTGCTGCTCTGAACCATCAGGCTTCTTGAAAAATTGATGCTATGTTGGTGAATTTTGTTTACTGGATGTTTATTTCATTCTACTCAACACTGCCATTTATTTAATTTTTTAATGACATAGTAGCTGCGATTCAGATTGTTTGTTGCCTCCATGTGAAAGCATGTCTGTTTGAAAAGGGAAATATATGTGCTATGTGGGTTAGAGGTCTACTGGAATCATTGAGTTGGTCCATTTCTCTATTCATGCAGAAGAATGGAAGAAGTCTGATGAAATAGGGTTTTTATGATTATTCTTCAAATAAATGTAAAATGTTTCATGAAGTAATGGAAACTCTGACCTGTTAGTGTATGTCACTGAGTGCCTTATCCCATCAGCATGGGGACAGCAGAAGTTGCTGTCCGGCTGACACACTTAATATTTGATTTCACCCTTCATTTTTATTTGATAAACTTGGACAAAACCAATATTTTCATAAATCAGAATATTAAGTTATATTTAGGGCTGTACCAATGCATTTGCAAGCTGCTGGTGACAATGCCCAAAGAATAACTTCCTGAATGAGGAAATGAAGAAAGATGTGAGCAGGGCTTGATAAGTGAATCACAAAGGCAATGGGATAAAATGGGGCTGTCCCATTGCATCCATCACTGTATTGATTTCATTTTTTATAGTCAGAGGCATTGTTGGCTTTATTATCTGTCACAAAGGTCACACCCCTCTCCCCTTACTCCCCAATGAGAGCCAAGAGATGATGGAAGACAGAGTCCATGCCCCAATCAGGGCAGGAAATTGCAGAAGTTAAACTTCTTACCCAAGCACAATGGGTAATGACTGAATTTGTCAGCTGTTCACTGTTTTTGAAATGGCTGTTGTCATAGCCCATAAAAAAAGTTTTAACTTTGCCTCCTAATAGGTATATTTGAGTAAAGGTTTGATATCATGTTTCTTTACTTTCTCTCAACAAGTCACAATTGGCACCAGCTTTGGCTAATAGGTACAGCCCTAGTTATACATTGTTGGGATTTGGTAAGGCTTCATTTTTGTCTTAGCAAGAAACGGTGCATCAGAATTGATAATTTTTCAATGAATTAGGACTGATGACCTGTCATTTGTAAACAAATAACAATTTCTCCTCAAGTGAAAAATGCAAAAAAGTTTTCATAGCAATAAGTGTTGGATGTCATAGTACAGCCCAAAATATCATAGGTAAATCAAGGCCATATTTAGGAGGGGTTCATGGGGTTCAAACCCCCCCCCCCCGAAATATCTTCCTTAAATTATTGCCATACCGCTATTTGTCGGTGTAAACAGTGCAGTACTGTTGGTCTTTTCTATGAAATTATCAAAAACTGGATAATTTGTGACGTTGAATGTCCTTTTAGGTCTACAGTTTTTCTGAATGTTACTGTTCATAATTTTTTTATCGGTGTCACGTATGTGGTCTGGAGTAGGGAGGGGTTTTTGAAATCCTAGATACGGCCCTGTATGATATACTGTAGTAGAATATTATTTCACATTGATATGCAATAAAATTTAGAATGCATTTAGGCAAAATTGGGCAGAAAATTGTCATTGTATTATTCAGATATTTTGTTCTCATCTATATCAACTTCTAATTTTTTGTTGTTACCAGTATGATGGAACTGAAAAAAAAATTTATTGAGCATATTTTCCCTAATTTTTGTTTTGTCTCGCTCGGTATGTACATTTTTTTGTGGGAAAACATTCCCTCTGGCTTTGAGAAATGGATTGCAAACCCCTTTTGGCAGCATGTTGTCAGGGTGGAAAAAACTTGCACCTTTCCTTTCCCCTCCTGAGGAATAAAGTGTAAAGGGGCTCTAGGATAGGTGCAACTAAGATTACCCTGAATGATAGCAAGTGGAATCTGCACAATACCAACATTGCAAGTTAATTTCTTCCTAGTTCTCTATCTCTCTCATTGTTGAGTAACAATTTACTGGATAGGCTTTGTGCTGCTTTTGCACTTGAGAATGGAATTCTGGATCATGGATTCTGGTCATTCAAGCCTCTGGAAGGATATGAGAAGTTGCAGATTCAGATGATGAATACATTAATACTGGATCACTGCTGAGTAATCGGCAAATGAAACATGTCCTGAATATTCACATTTTCCTTAATATTCTTTAAGAAAGAGTTAATTTAAAATCTGTAGAGGCATTTATTGATTAATTATTATTTTTAACAGGAATGGACTCTTTGGAAAAAGTTTCAGCAGCGCGTATATGGAAAAAGGGCGTAAGTGCATAAACACTTTCTGTCTGCATCCAAGCAATGTGAGATAAAGAAATTCATTAAAACCCTAAGTTCATTTTGAAAAATGTATGAGATTCCATTTTACTTATAATTAAATTTTGACCAGCTTCACATTAGGTATGGGAAGTTTTATAGTTTATCTCGAATTGCATCTTTTGCACATACCCCCCTTTTCTAGAGAACTCCTCAATTACAGATAGGGATGGGTTATTGACCAGTCAATATGGTCAACTATGGTCAATTTTAGTAAATAGGACCAACTTTTATTTATTTATTTATTTTTTTCTTCATAGTTTTTGCACCATTATATATGTCATGACTTACAAGTGATAGACTAGGGATGGGAAGTTGACTGGTCAACGTGGTCATTTTAGACCATTTGCAGAAAATAATGGTTATGAGCCCAATAAGAGGTTAGGCCTTATGAATATATGATCATGAATGACCATGTTGACCAGTCAACATCACATTGCTAAGATAAATTTAATGTTCCAACTCATGCAATCTATAGGGTAAATAATAATGAATCATGTTTCATAGCTAGATTAATTTTTTTAGGCATAGGCATAGGCATAACCCAAGTACTTGTCCCATGATCACAGACTTTGAGAATAATTTGATGCTCTGATGCAGACTATTAGCTAGGACCATGATTGACCTTGCACGAAACTGAAGTTCTAAAGCTGTTACTTAGATCTTGAACCTTAACTTTTAAAGTCCTTGAGGCTATAAAACTTTGAACAGCAAGCTATGCCTGCACACACACTCTGCATCATTCAGGTGGAAAGGTCATGATAGTTTGAGCATTTGCTAAAATGTTTTCATACGCAACAGGTGCGACAGTCTAGGTGTTTGGTATGCTGCATGAACAAATCTTAACATTTGAACTGGCTCTTTGGTTTTAGTGCTGGAGGATATATGACGACAGTTATGAGTTCTATAAAAAAAATATCTTAATTCACTGAATTAAAAAAAAAATAATGGTCAATTAAAATGTGGTCAATTGACCGCCCCATCCCTAATGGCAGATCTTAAAGATTGAGGGATGTGCACCATTGTTGGAGTTACAGGCTATGTATTGATACTTCAAGCTACTAATGAAAATCTAGCATTGGCTTTTGGACGTGAAATGATCATAATGGGCAATACCTGGTGCATGTGAATTTAACTCTTTCAATCCCTAATTATGTGGCAGGGATAGGAAGAACATTCAATTTAGATTTTTACATATATGTGAATGCTTAAAAAAGAGTTGAATAAAATTATTTAAGTTTTTCATTTTTATCTATTGAAAAGCAAATGAAATAATGTGACTTCATTTGTTCTCCTACCAATGAAGTCCTTATTTGCTGTGGTATACCTTGTATTTCTTCTCATTTCCATCCTATTGACATTATTCAAAAAAGTTAGTCTGGGAAAATTCTTGAAATTTGTTGTTCCATATGGAGCCTTTGAGCAAAGAGGATTTTCTGCCTTTGTATCTACCTTTATTTCCAGAACCATCAGCAACGGTACAGGGTGGCCCAAAAGTCACGTGCCCTAGGGGATTTTAACAATTGGACTATATTAATTTTTATAGTAACACAGGCGCTGACTTCTAAAAAATATTGGCTGGGCAAGTTCCCAATGCCCCAGAAATAACAGTGATGGAATTATTCTAGGACCCATTGGGGTAGCTCAGTACAGCATTATTGTGGTAGCAGTGATGAGTGGGGGGGGGTTGGGCATGGGCCTTCCACCCCATACCCTTATGGCATACCCTTAACCCCTGGATAATTGCGACCCAATTTGCGCCAAGCCATTTTGAGTGGGTCACTGGGGGTCTCCAGTGACTGTCCGAACTTTCCTTTATGGTCTAGGTCACTCATGCTACCCAAACATGCCTTTCCTCCTATCAGTCGGTCTGTTAAATGCTAAAAAACTGAAGTCTGGATTCTAACCATTCCAACCATTCTAATCATATTTTTCATTTCTTTCATGAAGCAGCATTTTGTTTCCAATTTTCTATGAGGCATACTTTTATTGAAATTTGGCCATTCTTGGGGGGGCATGTGCCCCTTTGCCCCCCTGGGTTCGGTGCTTTTGAATAAT